TACACTCAGACTGCTGGCGATAAAAGATATTTTTCACTTTTTTCCCCCCAGAGCCCTTCAAAGGGCATGAAACCCAGGAGAAAAATTTTCTCAGACAGATAAATGCACTTGCTGATAGACTTGGACACAGGAACCCCATGTAAAAAGCTTCAGGAGACTAATAATGTGGGTGGAAAATTAAGGCACCTCATAAAAGGTTTTTAGTAACAAGGGAACAGATCACATCAACTTGGAAAGGTTAAAGACAGCAATTTATAGACACTAATTAGGGCCTCTTTTTAAAGTGCCTTTGCAAATGACAAAGTTGGTTTTATTCCAGCGAGGTGGAAAGGGAGCGCAGTAGGAGCTGCCTCGGGACAGCTCCTAAAAGGGTTTACCATGCTTGTCGTTACCACACATTTACAGGAGATTTAAGGGTCGGCACGAAGGGAAACATGGGGAATGTATTTATATGAATAAGCTGTGCAATACTTATACCTTCCCTGAGGAAATCTTCTCCACATTGGAGCAGGACCCAGCCAGCCCCAAGCTTGCGCCTGCTGCTCCGCTAACGGGAACCGTTTTGCTGGGTGCCAAGTCCAAGGTCATCAAACCTGAGTTTTCGTTCACTTTCTGGCTCGCCAGCCACAAGGATCTGCATGGTTAAACTTTTGCAGAAACGCTGTTCTATGCAGCACTCTGACAAAGTTTTGCCTGCAGGATGTAGTGCCAGAAGGTGGGAGCTGAAGGATTTTGCAGCGATGCTTCCCGGAGCCACGGCCGGGGGGCAGGGGGTGCCCGCGGGAAGACAGCTCTCATCAAGAGCTAGAGAAACCAGGGCACCGCCAGCACTGCTGGAAGGTGAATCAGTCCTTCGGGGGCTTTATTTCTCCCTTGGTTCACTGAAGGGAACACAGCTCACTCCCCAGCTAACGTGAACACCTCCAGCTTCTGTCATTCAAGTGGGAGCTCCCGCTGCAAACGGGCTGGGTGTGCAAAGGGACTTCCAGGCAGCAAATGCCACGCGTCTATACAGGCAACCACTTTACCCACCTATGGGATCTCTTTTTTTCAATTTACAGAACATCAGCTCCTCTCCCTGCACTCTGGGGCTGCTTTTATAGGAGCTCAGCGATGTAGAAAGACCTGGACACGAGCAGCCAGGGCAGCTTTTGGGGACAAGGTGCTGCCCTGGGAATGGCAGGACCAGCCTCCTCCCCATGGTTTCAGTCCATCACCTTTTGCAGGGAGGCTCACAGCCTTCAGCAGCACTTACAATTTCTTTGCAATTAGTATGGTAGCTTTTATAAGCATTGGTTTATTGCATTATAAAGCCACTCTCCTTCACAGCCATTAGAACAGCCCAGAGGTTGTATACAACACTGCCGCTCCCTGTGAGCTCTGTGTGGACCGAGCATCCTCCCCTTGGCACCGTCCCCCTGCAACCAGCTCAGATCATGCCTAGGACTGGGTGAGGGCTTGAACATATTTCCACTTCTAACGGTGATTGTGCCTGACACCCCTCCGCAGCACGCCCTTCCCAGCTCCTCCGTGGGAGAGAGCAGAGCGGGTCCAGTATGGCAAAAGGGAGTGCTCTGCTCTCACCTTGGAGCTTACCCGTGAACTGTCTGTAGATATTTCAGCTTCCCAAACCGAAGGTCCCAGCCAGCACACTGCAGCCCAGGAGGACCGCTACCCTCGGTCTGGGGTCACTGCCCATCACCTACTTCTCCCCAGCGTGCCTGTCCGCTCACATCTGCCACCAGCATGTTTGCAGCGTGCTCCCTACCCTCGTTCTGTCAGCAGAGATCCAAAAGAGCTTTTAATAGCAGCTTGTTTGTTAAACCTGGGATATTTTGACAGATCTGTTGCAGAAGATGCAAGGAACAAGCAGGCAGGAGCCGTCACCCCTGTGCAGCTCCTGCCCATGCCAGGGCTGATGCTCCCTAGGAGCCCTTGCCTTCAGTCCTGCTTCACCACCACCGAGACACTGCAATTCTGCAACACGCCCAGTCGCCTGTGGACAAACCTGCATTTCTTACATGGGAAAGAAGTCCTCTTCTCCGAGGTTGTCACATTTGCAGAGTCAGAGAGGTCACAGGCTAGGTGGGAAGCCGGGGTGGCTCAGCCCAGTGGCCATGCCATCAATGGCAGAAGGAAACAGGGATGAGGGAAGGTGCTGCAGATACCCAGGGGTGCACGTGAGCTGAGCAAAACAAGTTCTGCTCTTTCACTTATATCTGGGCAAGGCACAGGGAAAGGACAGCGAGATCAGCACATCCAGGTTCTCAGGGACACGGGGCTGCTCCCTGAAGAGCAGGGCAGGGTTTTGGGCCCACCAGCTCCATCCTACAGGGCTCGGACCCACCATCCTCCTCCATCTGCAGGTTACGCCACAGCACGAGACACCGTCCGGACAAGAGCCAACTCGCTATCCAACTCTGCTTTTTTTTTCCTCAATTGCACAGCACCTACTACCACCCCCTCTCCCTCTTCAGGAATGACAACGTTAAGAATAAATACAAAAGTAGAGAAAAGTACCAAGGAATGGAAATGGCATGCCTGCTCAGAGGTAGCTCGGAGGTGACGCGTGCCAACTGCACTCCAGCTCTCTCACCTTCCTCGTGCTTCTCAACGTCTTAATCATTTATAATTCACCTCCCCCTCCACTTCCCACATGGAAACAAAAGATGATTCATACACCAAAATAATCACTGGGGACCTCCAAAAGCCCACAAATTCCCTCACTTTGGTCTAGGGTACCTGATAAGGAATTTTCCCAGTTTGGTATCTGGGTTTGACTGTGTCCCCTCCTCCCCTTTATACTGGTCCCACAAAGACAGAACCTGCCCACACACTATTTTTAGGACTTAAATTAGTTGACCACAAAACAAATCAGATTTTAAAACTTGAGGCATCTGAAAAATCCAGCTACACAGGGGAAGCACCTGTGGCACCAGGGATGGTGCCCCTGCCCTCTCCAGCGGGTGGAGAGGTGGATTTTTCCACCGAGCAGGGAAGTGCCTTTATCACATTCGGTGTAGCCAGCATCCCATCGGAAAGAGCAATCGATGGCTAAAGCTCGCTACCTGGGCTTGCCTACGGAAAGAGGTCAACACAATTATAGTACCAAAAGAGACCTGCAGCAACGGGTTTTCCCTTACAGGAGGAAAAGAGTGAAGCTGTGAGCTGAAAGCTCAGCTCCTACACTCCCAACAGCAAAGTATCCATGTCCACATGTGTTGTAAGACTGTCGCCTACAGGACCTGACACCGGCATGTTAATGTCACTGCCCGAACACTCGCCAGCCCTGCCTGCTCACTGCATATCCACCCTCCATCAGTGCCGTGTTTGCAAACGCCTTCGCCACTTCTGCATCTCTCACAAAATAAGAAAATGTTTGCAAGGCGGACAGTGAAGGAGTTTTCCTCCTTCCAAACTGCCCAGATCCAAAGCCAGAAAGCAAACCAAGGCTGGGTCTCTCGCAGACCCGTTGGCCCCATCACACCCTCCAGCCCAAGTGCTGAGCAGAGGTACCATCGCTGCACGAAGAGGAGAACGCCGAAATGCCCGTTATCCACCCCAGCGCTGCGACCTTTCACTTACAGGTGGGCAGCTGGGTACAAAACCCAAAGCCATACCCCACCAAGTATCTGCCGGCACAGGCAGAGGCGATACAAGTCGTAAATCTGTCATCTCAGGCAATGCCAACAGACACAATTTCACAGGAGGGTTCTAGCTGGTCTCACTGTTGGGGCTCTCCTAGAAGACCACAACGGCTCAGAGTGAGAAACACAGGTTCACTAGAGTAAAGAGCTGGAAGCAACTGTTAAACCTTTAAAGCGAGGAAGAAACAAATAAAAGCTTGCAGTTTCCAGGGCATTATCACAGGTCTGCTCTCCTAGAGAGAGGCTTACAAATGCAGGCAAAACCACAGAGACAGCAGGGCTTGGCAAACACTTGTAACACACTGCCCAGGCAAGCATCACCGTCCGCCACCGAAGTGCTCCATTTCCAAACAGGTGCAAAACACGCACAGGAGGACAAGTTACGATGCACAAAAGGCCTTCTCAGAGACACGGACGTGACTTTGGGGAGACTCCTCACAAGATGAGGTCCTTGCCTTCCACCCATGTACCAGGGAAGTACACACTGCTTCTTGCAAAATAAGCTGGAAACAAGAGCAACATTCACTACCAGAGATGCAACTCAACGGGCCAGGTTTCCTAACCATCTCCCTTGTTTCTGCCATACCAGGGCACCGGGAAGATCACACCAATTTCACTACCTGGCAGAGTAGCAACCCCGAGAAATGTTTTTACTTCTCTGCAGAGAAATAAGCTCTGGCTCCCCAGACCTTACAGGTTTCCCCCCATGCTGTGCTGAGGCTAATGGCAGTTGAATTTTAGACTTTTTTTTTTTTAACTCCTCCCTTCAGATTTTGAAGGGAAAGCAAAGCACTTTGATCTACTTTGAAATGGTGCAATTAAACCAATTTCTGAACAATTTGCAGTTCTGTTCTATAGGAAGCATTAAGCAAAGCCATGCTTTTCAGTATTTTGAATAGAGAAAAAACTCGTACATCCATGTAGCTCTCAATCCATCCCCCCCAAGCAGGGGAGCTGAAGAGGTTTACACTGACATGTAAATCCCTACGACAGACTTCTATAAAACCACTAAGAGAGGCACACCCAGAAGGCAAAGAAGTGTTTCACACCTTCTGTAAGTAGAAAGTGTGAAAAGAGATGAAAGTCGCCTCCTTTCCTCAAATCTCAGTCGTAACTCCTGCTTTATCCTGGCATCTGTGCGCCCACTCCTGATGTCAGTCTAGGTAACGCCGGTGTCACACAGTGCTCTAAGGACCCCATAGCTATATCAGCGATGGCAACACTCTAGAGATCAACACCACGTCAAGGGTAGTCCAGTCCATGGACGTCAACACAGATGCCTCTGCTCACCACAGCGCTACATGGACCTCACACATAGCCAGACAAAGAAATTACCAGATGCAAGTGCCGTACCTTCCTCCAAGTCGTTCCTCAGAGAAGCCTCCAGCAGAGCAACGCTGGCTTCAAAAGACACTTTCTTTCGGTTAACAGCATTTCTCTTCTTTTCATGCTTCCGCTTCTTGTGCTGCATCTCCTTCTCATACTGTGCCCATTTCTTCAGCTGCTGAGCCCTCCGCTTCTGGGCTGCCCGCAGCCTCTCCAGCGTGGGCACCTTATCCAGCAGCTGCAGCTCTGTCAGGAGGTCCACGTGGGCATCCATCGCTTCTGCCGAGGGAGAGGGGGTGAAGGATGTCCCAGCGGGAAACGACGTCCCACCGCAGGTCCTGTGGATCGCAGCTGTCTGCTGCTATACCAGCATCTTCCGGCCGAGCTGGGAAGGGCCCATCGTAACGTCCGATGAGAATCTGGTGGAAACCTGAAATGAGGAGGAAAGTGTGAGGAATCAACTCTCACCGTCCCGTGCAGACAAGCAACTAAGGCCAACCCTTTGGAAAACACGACAGGCAACACCTACCATCTCAAAAGACAGCTCACTTAATTGCGCTTTAATCGCTTGGTTGTTCTCACCAGCCTTTGTGATTCCACCCTTCACCCACTCCAAAGACCCAAGAAAAACCCTCTTGGCTAAGCGGTATTTTTAGCATGCAATTCATTCACGTCTATAGTTCAATGTAGCAGAAGAAAATCTTAATAAGCAAAGATCTTCTGTAGTATTTGATATCATTCTTCAGACAACTCAGGAGAGAATCAAGTACTGCGACACATCCTGCCCCCCAGCTGGGCCATTCCAGCGTTACCATCACCCCTCGTTACAGCTGTCCCCAACACCACAGCCAGGACCAGGCTGCGCTGACGCACACCAGCAGCCGCCTCCCTGAAGCATTTCAGTCCGAGCAGCAAAACACAGCGCAGAGGGGACCAAGAGAGCCCAGGGCAGCCACAGACACCAGACGAGGCCATCCTGGCACAAATAACCCAGAGGCTGGAGATGCACAGGGCTACCTGTCTAGAGCCCCGAGGCCAGGCAGGTTTTCCCAGAGGAGCTCTACCCACCAGCATCATCATCTGCGCTCTTCTACTTCATCCATCAGCCCCTTCTCACCCCAGCCCTAGCCAAGGGCAGACGGATAGGACGTGGCTCCCAGGGAGGTATTACTAACACTTAAACTGCCTCAGGTACTTAAAAACATGGGGTTTTGTGCTCACTTCTCTTTTCCTTCAGTTTTTTTTTCTTCACCACACACTAGCTTATTCTGGTTTTGCTGTATGGGCTCCACAAGCAATGGGGGCAGTTAAATCACAGCCCCAGACTCTCAGTGTGACCACGACATCAGAGACCTCTGAGCAGCACTACCCACAGAGCGATCAACCGGGGAACCCACAGGCAGCCGCCCGGTCATCTGCTGCACAGGAGGAGGAAAGACGTCCCTGATTTAAGGAGCAGTCCAACAGGGAAAGGTGCATTTGAAACGAAGCCAATGTCACGAGCAAATTGAACGAGTCCTTTCCAAACAGACCCATCGAATGGTAAGGTGAGCGAGCCAAATCGAGGTAAGCTGCAACTAACCATGTGTGAGACGAGAGCTCTTATGGTTCAGCCAGCTTGGATGGGGGGGTGGAGGGAAAAAAAAAAAAGAAGTTGATGAGGAAGGGAGACTGTGAAGAGCTGTGAAGAGCTTAAGTATTTACAAGCACTCCTCCAAAAGAGAGGAAGCAACAGTCTCGTAAGCAATGGACACAAAGCATCTATGGGAAAAAGAGCAGAAGAGAGGTAGCCTGACCCAGGTGGGCATACCAAACCTTACCCCATCCAGCCAAGCCAGGAAAAGCCACCTTTCATCCCTCTTCAGAGGGTGAAGGAGCCCAATCGGGAGGGCATTACTGTGAGGAGCTGCAGGGAAATGTCCATGCCACGCAGCACATCCACCATGTCCCAGTGAATTTTGCAACGTTGAGACATCCACTCCTTCCAAACATTGCTACAGACCTTTCACAGGGGTTTGACCTTACCTATAAATATCTCAGCAGACTGACAGCGAGGCAGACCATTTCCACCGCGAGATAATTGGTTTGAGAACTGAAAACAAACAAACTCAGCCAGAGCACACAGGCGGATCCCGCGAGCAGTCGCTTTATCCAGTAAATGGCCAACAGAAGGCCAAGGGCAGCTTCAGCAGAACCTGCAAACCTTATTTTGAGGGTTTCAGGATAGACTTGAACAAAAAAAACCCCCCCAAACCTAAAACCTTCTCCATCCCGTAAGAATTTCAGATTGCAAAAAAAAAGAAAAGCTTTAGTTCCACAGAGGGAAAAACCCAAATCCTTGCAAAGTTTTTCGTAAGAGAAATGCTACCTAGAAATTCAAACACTTGCCTGAGATGGAAAATATCAACTCATGACTTTAGCATTGGAAAGCGAGGGAAGCACGCCACAGTTCCTCCACGGCACGAGAGCCCCACGTGGCTCCCCCTGACCCCTGCCTGCAGCCCCCATGAGCCGGGACTCACCACAGCCCCCACAAACCCTACTGACAAGAGCAGCGTAAATGCAGCCCACTCTCCAAAAAGCTTTTATTTCAGGTAAGACGCACTTTCCAAGCACAGGCACTTGGCTGGAAAGCTCTTCACCACCTCTCGTGAACTTGGCTCGGCACAGCACGGCTCCTTCCCCTTGC